GCAGGAGAAAATGTCATAATAGCTCGGTCGATAATCGGGTGGCCCCAAAACAGACGGCCGTGGTTCGCGTCACGATCATTTACACATTTATTTTTTTACTTTTTTTTTCGATTCCAGATTATTGCTTTCTTTATTTTTAATTTTTTGTCGATTTGTTATTTTGTTATTTTAAAGTTTTTTAAAGTTCTTTTTTTTCAACATCAGTTCATATTTTCTTATTATTACGTCGGTAAGATCGAAAAATATTATGCATATTTCATTACTCAGTAATTTGTATCTAAATGAACTTTCCAAAATACACGATTTACCAAAAAAAAAAAAAAAAAAAAAAAACAAACCGAGCAAAGTCCTCCGGGTACTGAAATTTATGTGCGAATACGTAAAATGTTATACTGATTGGCGTTAATATGTGTTGTTTTCTATAATATGTCATTATATTTCTCATTATTCATCCGTAGATAATTCTTTTATCTCCCTAGCCTAAAATCTAAGAACGCGTTACAGGCCGCTCCAAATGCTACGTGTTATTTGATGAACTATTATATAAAGTCTTATAAAAGAAAGCCAACGCCCCAAGAATCGTGTTCTGTACCCTCTTGGGAATAAACACCCAAATCCAGATCAATTACCTGTGGGTTACACACAAACTTGTCCCAATCCCATCACGAGCGCTGAAGCCAATTTCATCACGTATGCACAAATACACAAGGCTTTTTTATAAATAGGACTATGCTTATTTTCATAGAGAAAATGTTACCAGCAGCTCACTAAAAACTTCAAGACGCTATAAGCTCGTTAATTAAGTAATACACAAATATGATGGTAGCAAGGGAAACTATGAAGTGAGAAAGTAACACACTTGGTTAGTCTGTATCGTGACAGTGAAGTGACAAGGTATAAGGTATAAGGTGTATAACTCTCACCAGTTTTATACTGTATAGAGTCGTCATAAAATTTCAGTTTTAGTTATGCAATTTACATGATGTAGATGTTGAGCCTGGATTGAATTATCCTACAGTCCATATTCTTATATAAAATTTGAGGGGGCATACAAGGGAAACACAAAATATCGCCGATCACATCGTAATCTGCAACGTGCGTACAAAGGGTGCATTCTTCATTCTTCTATTCAAGTGCTTAACATTGGCTGCACTTTACTGGACTCGATTTAATGAATATCGGGAACATTCTTTCGCGTTATTACATTTCTTTCATTAAGCTCCTGAACGTGGGCCAGATATTGAAGGGGATACCACAACAAATGGTTATTACTATTCACTAGGTAGATTTTACTCAGCATATTCCATTTCAGGTATGGATATGATTAAATATTTATTTATTATAACTAAATTATGAATATAATTATGCGGCTGAGTGTGTAGTTACTTTCACCACAACATAGTATAAAACAAAGACGTCTCGCAGACCGACAGTCTGTCCCTATGTATGCTTAGATCTTTAAAACTATGCAACGGATCTTGATGCGTTTTACTAGATAGAGTGATTCAAGAGGAGGGTTTATATGTATAATGCATTGCACCCGTATGAAGCCGGGGCGGGTCGCTAGTAATTTATATAGGCCTCCGGTCTGACTACCCGAGAATAAAGTGCAATAATATAAACCCTTCTTCTTATAATAGCTGACGTACTAACTAACTAACTTGCAGCAACACTAGCTATTGCGTTGTATTGCTATAAAAGTTAAGGCCACTATCATCCTATACATGTCTCACTCCTGGGCAAAGACCTTTATAAAGGGTATTAGAGAATAGTCAACCAGCGACCCCACTGCGGATGGGTATACTTTAATTACTTACCTTCAGAGTTCCATCGTTTAAATTAGGAATCACAACAAATTATAAGAAATAATTCATAGAGATTTCCTTGATACTGCAAATAGAATTTATGCACACAGTAAAGAATTAGTCGAGTCCATATCTTCTGCAATGGTTCATTATGCAAAGCTCGTTCTAGTTAATATGGGCCATGCCTGAATTCATGTAGGTATCTCTACATTCTCAAAGTAGAATCTTAAGTCTGAAACGTTTCAGCTACTTTGAAATATAAAAGTGCTGAAATGTAAGATGTAAGAAGTAAGCTGGCGCAATCCTAATTGTGACGAGTTGTGGAGACATTTTTATGTCTTAAACTATGTTCCTTTAGACTTCAAAGCCCACGTGAACGTGACTAACGTAGAAATTTGGTGTTTACTTATTTTATTTTTCTTACGTCAATGTTTATTTAAGAAAGTCATCACTACATAATATAAGTACATGCGATTTTCTTTAGTATATATAGTGATTCAAGAGGAAGGTTTATATGTCTAATTCAGGCATAATTAAGTAGAGGAACACTGATTGTTTAGTTTTGTTATATATATATATTAGATATACACGTGTTGTCCTTGTCTTCACGTACAAAAAGCCAGTACGTGGCCTCGTCTGTACAGAGGGAATTAGGGAATAGCGCAATACCTTAAATATTCTCCAAATATTTCGTTTTCGTTACTTTTTCGACTATTACCAAATTTCCTCACGAGTTTTGCTGACTGCTGCAGTTGAAACTAAAAAATTCAATGGTGCCAGCACCGCGATTTGAATTCAGGTTGCTCGTGTACATTGATTTAAAAGCAAGCAACTATTATACATATTTATATAAATGCGCCACTTTGCAAAATTGGATCAATCCTTCATAATGTTTTCCGACGTTATTTCACTTTACGCTCAACAAGAATGGCTGTGATTGATAGTTTCTGGATACGAATATGATAGATAATGCCAAGGTATCAACGTTTCAACGCTAAATATAACGAACATAATTCACGTATTATAGTTAATTTTAAAAGTTACCCTTTCATTATTACACAGGATATTGAGTTAACATCAAAAATCAGACGCTAATTTCTAATAATTTCGTAAAAATTGGTATATGAGCTTATATTGTTATATTTTTAATTCATTGGCAGTATTAGTACCAGAAACATACGAGTTTGTTACTCATAAGAAATATCTGTTTTTTCCTTTTTGGGGTTCCGTACCCAAAGGGTAAAACGGGACCGTATTACTAAGACTCCGCTGTCTGTCTGTCTGTCCGTCTGTCACCAGGCTGTATCTTATGAACTGTAATAGTTAGACAGTTGAAATTTTCACAGATGATGTATTTCTGTTGCGGCTGTAACAAAAAATACTAAAAAAATAATAAAAAATATTTAAGTGATGTGTATGAGATACAACATACATGATTTTATAGCCGTTTTTGTAGATAATTGTACGGAACCCTTCGTGAGCGAGTACGACTCGCAATTATCCGGTTCTTTATTAATTACATTTCGTGCGTATCTAACTAAACTCTTCTTAACTAACCGTTAGGTTAATTCGGTTTGGATCCAAAACTGATATAAATTCATAGACTTAATTATTATTAACTTAATTTCTGTTTTTATTTATGTTTTTCTCGTTATCATTTCTGCCTCCGATCAGCCGTCAGTCAGCCTTCCGTCAACAGTTTTTAAAGAAAAAAAATTTGCTTTGACTAAATAATGTACATTTTTCGCTTTTACCCAGAAGTGTTTGCCAACATGCACTTCGGTTCTTCTTCGGTAATACATTAAACACTAACGCCTGGTTTCTGAAACACTGATCATCGTAGATGTCAACTAATCAGCCGTCAAATGGCTTTTCAAATTTCATTTTAACTCTCTTATTTTTTTCAACTCTCTGAATTGACCAGAATGATCTTCTAATGATCAGAACGATCAATCCAAAGAGTTTAACCGTCCTTTTGGCAACTAAAATGGAATTTGAAAACCATTTGACAGCTGATTAGTTGACATCTACGATGATCAGTGTTTCAGAAACCGGCCGTAAGACTACTACTGTGTTTCGTCCACCAAGTAAGGTAAGCGGAACCTTATTATAAGTTAAGTAGCGTAACCTTTCCCCTAAAGTCGAGAAGCCGGTGTTGACGACTTAAAACCAATCACGTTTTTTATGAAAAAGATATTACTTAGATTTATTTATTATTAGATTAACATGTGAATTTTTGGGTTGGCGACCTTAAAAAAGTCCCGAGTTAGTTTTCTTTTTAAAAACGCACTTTTGCCAAAAAGAGGCTCATACTCTTATAATTTTTCTCCCATATTTTTTGTTAAGGTACAGGCATAGCTTATAAGAGTTTTGGTGTAAATTTCATCCCAGGATCAGTGGATACATGATCTGCTATGATCGAAATAGGAACGGCGAACGCGTGTCGACGAACAGAATTATTGGGTCAATAACCAGTAGTTCTGTTTGAATGACATAATCTTGAGTGAATCTGGATCGAAACCGACAGTTCATTGTTTGAGAATTGTCTGTTTTCGAATGCTAATTCAGCCCTCGACGTCATGCTGATCTACATTTTCAAATTACGGATTTATTCGTAAATTAACGATACAATACATAAAAACATGCATTTCAATTCTTAGATTCATATGACCGTGTAGGCATCTCAATGAGTTCGATGATTTAATGAGGACTAATTAATTTCGAATGAAGTAACACCCTATACATGTCCCACTGCTGGGCAAAGGCCTCCTCAATACATAGGGTATCGGGGCATAGTCCACCACGCGGCCCCACTGCGGATTGGCGGACTTCACATATCTTCGAATTTTTTTTCGTCTTTATTTCGAATGACATTGAATTATTTGTAGAGGCTGTTTATTTTAGATTATCCACGCAATGTTGACTATTTAGTGTTTTTATAAGCTTAGTGCTGATTACTCGAAAGTTATTCAGCATTTATTTATTACTTTAGTAATGTAAGTGCTATTGTCAAGTTCTGAATGCGTATTTGAAAATTTAAGTATTGCAATTTAATTTGATTTATGTGTTAGAATTGGTTCCTTTTTAAATTAGCACACACTGTAAGGAAAAATTTTATTATCTTAGTGAGGAGATAATAAAATTTTTCCTTGGAGTGGTGGTTCTCTCCAACAAACATTCTGTAGACGAATTTCAATGAACGATGATTTTCTCAAGTCTGCTAGTGGCATGACCCTCTTCAAAGGCCTACTGACCATTGGCTATTTATACTTCGAGAACTGGTAAGAAAAGAACCCATGTGTCGAATTATAAATTGCATTAAACTGGTGGCGACGACGGTGATAAATTATCCGTTATTAAACGCAAAATATTAAATCATACAATAAAATAACGATCAAGCGTGTTATCCAGACAGTGATAAACATTTATTAATGCAAAAATAAACTTCACAGAGCGTAAGAGAGGGAGACTACTCCCTCAAGACACAAGACTACTCGATAAATTACCAGATTTCTACTATCTTCTAACGTTGTTTAAAATGATTTCTCATACATGCTTTTGTTTATTTGAATCGATTTTTTTTCAACGCTTAGAACCTTAAATTCTTATTGGCAGTAGGACCGTTTTTATCGATAGTAACACTATTTTGAAAAAATGAGATTTTGTTCAGTTCATCGAATTTAAAAATCGCTTAGACAACAAAAGTCAATTTATGATATTCAATGCAAGTTTTTTTTTTTGCAATATTTTTTTCCTTTGTTTTTAATGTTGTAAAATAGCGTTATATATCATACTGGCAATGAATTAAAAATATAAAAATATATGCGTATTTCACGAAATTATTAGAAATTAGCGTCTAATTTTTGATGTTAACTCGATATCCTGTGTAATAATATAAGGGTAACCGTTAATATATAAAGTCAGCCCAGCCACGAAATGTTGATAAAAAGTTTAGATAATTTGTAGTAAATAGCATTTTATTCCCCGTAACGTAATTCGTGAAGAAGCCAGTGCGACTTTAACAACACAATTTTGAGCTTGTGCCAACAGCAAGGACAATGTGGGTCAGGACATTTTTTTTTATTTCGCAGCGCTCCAGTTTAAATTTATGGGTTTGGCTTTCTACGGCAACTGCTCTAATCTTATTCCTTTAATATAATGTCACAGTATAACATACTGAAAAATAAATAAATTTAATAACATAATGAAAGCTTATTAAATTTGGAGCAGAAACACAATATTTTATATTTAAGGTATCCTATATAATTGAAATGGAAATTTAACAACCTGATTTTGAGTGATTACCGCCGCCCATAGATATCTAAATACCTTAATGGATTGCAGGAGCGTTGCTAACCTTTTAAACAGCTTCTGTTCAAAAAGTGGGCAAAGTTTTAAATGCATACTAATATTATAAATGCGAAAGTAACTCTGTCTGTCTATCTGTCTCGCTTTCACGCCAAAACTACTGAACCGATTTAAATGAAATTTAGTTCACAGATAGTCTAGAGCCTGAGAAAAGTTCCAACAGTCTAAGCTATTGCGCGACCCGACGACAGAAACTATCTAACTATAGAATTTGTGATAGTTCAAATACCAAAATTTACTTCGAATGATTTTGATGTTTGTTTAATTATTCATTATTAATTAATACACTCAAAATTAACAATCTACAGCTCGTTGCTAAATTTATTGTTTTATTTGGTATGAGCTGACCAATAAATTGGTTCTGAGAGATTTTTATGTACCGTGCGCTCACTTTGTTTGTGCAATGTTCAAATATCTTTTTTTATATTCGGCCCTCACCGTTTCCGTTCTGTTTGATTCCGAACGGGAGAGCCCGTAAATTCAATTTGTATAGCCAATTTCACAGTAAATTTATTTTTATAATAATATAAATATTATGTCGGTACATTTTAAGTTTATTTACAACCATAACATTATGTTAAATGTTTGTCTTTATTATTTTAAAAGCATGCGTTTTATTTTCAGTGGATTTCTCAAATTGATGAAACAGGTCAGCTGGGTAACTAAATCAATTTTTATTTATTTAGTTTTATAGCTATAATTTTCTTCTGCAAGAAAGAAACGTTTTAAATGATATGATCATGAAAGAGACTGACTCCAGGCTACTGTCAAGTAGAGAAGAAAAGTTCTCTTCGTCCTAACTTACGCGTAAACGTGTAAGACGTATTTAAAAAATATTTATGAGTATTTAAAAAAGAACGACTCAGACACAAGTAGGTTATGCATTAAAATAGTTAATTTATTAATTTCTTGTATAATATGCAATTTCGAACACTGTTCAGGAACCATAAATCGCATGTTTCGATCGATCGAAAATTTGCTCCTTATCTTAATGAAATCTATTTGGGGTAGCATGCAAGATCTATTGGTTAAACCTTTGGTTATTATTGCAAATTGGAAGTACATATTTTGATAAAATGAGAGTCACTTAAATTGCAGTCATTTGAAGCAGTGGCTGTTACTAAAATATTTATTAAGCTCGGTGACTAAAGATGTCTCTTTGACCACTTAATCAACAATGCTAGTTTGTCATCATTATCACCGCATAGCAGCAGCATATTAAAAACAATCTATGTCATCTTTGTTTAAATGAATAAAACATATGTTACTCTTCAATCAATGATGTCTCTAATTTTCGGCCTATATTATTTAGTAAAGATTTTTGTAAAAATTTAATACACATTGCATTAAACGATATTCAGGTACAAATTTTTAAAGGTTTATGGATACAGAATCTTGTACTTATTTGGATACAAGGGCCCAAGATAATTTATTTTTATGGACCTTAAATATAATAACATTCCTTACTTTATTGCTTGTTAAGATCTTTTTCATTTTACAAAATGACTTTTGTGTATATATGTAGTAACTTCGTGATCATGTAACGGTTGGTAAATTCCCTTCTCACGCCACTGAAGCTTGCACATAGTAAATCTTAAAATTATTAACTTATTTCACGTCACAACGCAGTCTTTGTTCAGCGGAATAAAACACCTTCTGAATTTTAATCGAGTGAATAATTAGTTTCATACGACACATTCTAAATTTAAATTCTTAACAATATGATATTTTCAGTTTCGAGCAACTAACAAACATTTTGTTATATGAACAAAGTTAAATTGTTTATTTAACTTTGTTCATATAACTTATTTTATCTCTTTTTACTTTATTAATATTTCACAATCACGATGTTTCTTCCTTTACAGTACGTATACAGATGGAAATATAAGCAATTTACCACAAAGTAATACCACTTTAATGTATATAAATATATATATTCAGTATAAATGTTGCCGTTAAATAATAACCACCAGTCATGGACATTTGAAACACCCGTAGGGTTGCAAATGCGTTGCCACCTTTTACAAAGTGGGCCCCAGTTACCTCACTCATCAGACGAAACGCAGATGTATAATACTCCCACTACCCGCTGGTCTTCTGTGAGGTCGTAGTAATTCCCCGGACGGACCTGCCCATTCGTGCAACAGCGAAAAGTGTTGCGTGGCTATACCACTGTTTAAACTTTTTCCGTTGAGTATGAACTGTGAAGTACGAAACTTTTTTAATCTAGAAACCCGTTTGGTGTATATGTGTTTAGTTTGCAAGTGCTGCCGACGTTGCAATAGAATCCGCACTCAATATTTATACAAAAGAGTTATGAAAAGATAGCTCTTTGTTCACAAACTCCCGCGACACCATAATATATCTAAGTGTCAACGTTACCCGCATATTGTGTAAATGGGTTTCCTTGTCTCGTGCTATTATTATTTATGTGCTCTAACCGTGTTACGTCCCGAATAATTTTGTCACCGGTTTAAGTAAATAAAGAAATCTCTTTCATTCATTAATTTCTTTCCATATTCATAAATCATATTCTACCCCATGAAATTATATCCCTCATAATATTCCTCTTTAATGTAATGATTCAATCCTTATCTTAATTAAATCTAGTGGGCCTCCCCGTCTACGCGATCTATTGTTTGGAATTTCTTTCATTAAGATGGTATCCAGTACAAATTTGATGATACGTTTTAAACGCCAGTGTTAGGAACGCTTAATGTAGGCCTGTTTTTAAATCTTGGATGTTAAAAGACGAAATTTAAATTGTAAAATCTAACAATTTATTTAATTTTTAAACAATATTTACTAAAATTCTGTCAAACTTTTTTGCCGTTAGTTTAGTTGCAATATTACTATTCATTTAATTTTGAAGATCCTTCTGAGATGACTTTTCCATAAAAAAAAATATATTTAATTATGTCAGCTGCGGACGAAAATTATTATTAAGTACCTGGAGGACCTGGAGTTGGTTTTTTTTTGGTAAATCATGTATTTTGGAAATTACATTTAGATACAAATTACTGAGTAATGAAATATGCATAATATTAGTCGATCTTATTGACTTAATAATAAAAAAAATGAACTGGTGTTTTTCACAAGAAAGAACTTTAAAAAAAAGGGAAAAAATAACAAAATCATCTGGATTGACAAAAAATAAAACATGAAGTAAGCAATGATCTGGAATAAAAAAAAAAGTAAAAAATAAGTGTGTAAATAAATGATCGTGACTCGAACCACGGCTATTATAATTACCGACCGAGCTATTATAACTTTTTTTCGGTGAAATTTACCGTCGTATTCAAATGATATTTTTCATTCCCTGAAAACATGAAAAAAACGACATTTTCTAAAAATGAAACCTAGCCTAGATCGATTTTTGGCCCCCAAATCTACGCACATACAAAATTTCATGAAAATCGCTGGAGCTGTTTCCGAGATTCCGATTATATATATATACAAGAATTGCTTGTTTAAAGGTATTAGATTATGACATTTGACAAATGAAGTTAGTAGGAGAACTTTTGTAGCTCTTAGTTCTATGCGTCGCCTTTGATCATTTCTACCCATTCCTACAAATATTATGCTTGCACAGACTCTTCTCCGTCCAATTATATATGCAATATTTAATATATATGCAATTATATACGCAAATTCCGGCTAAATCGGACGATTTAGCCGTAATTTGCGTATCCCTGCTGTTTTGCAAGTACTGTGTCTTGTTTCATGGTTTTACTCCACCATATTTAAAGGAGTAATTTGAATTTTTAGGGCTTCCAGCGGAAGATCTGCGTTCTTCGAGGAAGCTCATTTAAAAGGTCCCAAATAATAAAACTCTTTAAATCTTTATATTTGAAAAATCTATTACCATACAGGTTATTAAACTCTGGAATTCACTAAGTTATACGTTCAATTCGCCTTTAGTTATACGTGAGGCGCAATCTATTGTCACCTTAAAGAATTTAGTTTGATAGCATTATCTGTCTCAATTTTCATTAGGATTAAGTACGATCGATAAAAACTATAACAGTTTGTTTAAAATAAGATTTAATTTTCATTATCAAAATATCGTGTTTACACTTTTAGCACATGCATTTTTAAATAATATTAAAATAATCTTAGGTAGTATTTAAATATAAAAAATATTTACGACAAAAATTTCAAATATAAAATTATTACATTACAATTAATTTAATTTAACTATTTACTTTTGAATATATTTATACTATTACATTCTTTAATGTAATACCCAATTAAAAAATAAATTGTTAAACAACTGCTCCCTCAAATAAGATTAATTAGAGCTTATTTTAATTTTTCAAATTGTGAGTTACTTATTTTTCCTGCAGTGCTATGTTGGTTTCGATCGGTATTTTTTTTTGCTAAAATGCAAGTGAACAATATGTAAAGTTGTGTGAGATTAAGTAATTGTAGTTTTGTTTGTAGGTTTAAGGTGATGGTGATGACTAACAATATGATATATATTATATTGCACCACCTACGTAGTATACGTTTCTTTTAAGCCATTCGTTGCCTGGAAGAGATCGCTATGAAGCGAAAAGGCCGCCAAACTCTACATTGCATAAATTTGTTGTTCCATGTCATTTTTATTTATACTCTCATTTGTGGTGGACAATAAAAGTGTATTCCTTTATTAATTCATATATTTTTATATATTATTCATATATTCATACATTTACGAAGATTTACGCCCTATGCTAGAGTAAAAGTGGATTCATACGATTTCACGACACCCACTTTTATTTCAAAACAAAAAGCTTTAACTAGATTTTAAACTCTTGTAAAAAACCGATGACGACTCTTTGTATTTTTTTTGGACTGAAAGATTAACAGCGTTCGAACTAGGTATTCATATATTCGATTAAATGTTTGTAGCTGGCTAGTTGGAGATTAAAAATAAATGGGTCAGAAACAGTGCTCTTCCCGTTCAATTTATATTCTGCTCAGAGAATGCAGTGTCAGCGTTCACCACTGCTTAATGTATAAGTCCTTTAACATACGTTACTGCTAAATAGAAGAGTTTTCAGATGTCTTAAAAATATAAAAGGTAAGCCAATATCTATCTTGCTCTTTATGAAAAATATGTTCTTAATTTAAACCTTGCACACGATTTTACTTTAATTAATATTATTATTATTGATTTTACTTTAATTAATATTATTATTACTGGACAAGTTGAGTGGGTTCGATCGTTTTGACAACGTGTGTGTTTATATTGTACGTAATATAAGCCTTCGCCTGCGTAAAGATGCAACGTCTTTTTGTATTTACTTCTTATTCCATTACTCTTTATATTCCATATACTACACAAATGGTTGGGATAAGTTAAAGTTCATATAGAAAAACAAGTAGAAGGTTTGGATATGAACTAATTTTCCCACCTTTAATAGGTAACACTATAGCCCACACCTCCACAAACGAATTTTGTATGAATAAGCCTTGATGATTCAAGTCACTGCACGACTAATAACAGTCGTGACATAGGGAAAAAAGCGTACCATTTGCACAAAGAAAAGACCTCAACGTCTCCAATGTTACTCATGACGCGATGCGATGGATAGAGCGGAAGAGAGAGAGAGAGAAAGAGAGAGAGAGAGAGAGAGAGAGAGAGAGAGAGAGAGAGAGAGAGAGAGAGAGAGAGAGAGAGAGAGAGAGAGAGAGAGAGTATTTGAATTTACTGGCCTAGGTTATTAAAGGATAAAAGTGTACTTCACTTGTATCGGAGAGTAGTTAGTTTCATATTTTTGTAGAATCTGAAATATAAAATTATATGATAAACTTCAATTTCTTTAGATTTTGGCTACAGACACCATACCATCGTTGACAAAGTCCGCTCTTAATCTTAATTAAATCTGCTTCCGTTTCAGCAAGTGAATAGAATTTCAGACTTTACGATATTAGATTTTTTTTCTTTGATAGAGTCCGGATTAGCGGGTCAAAGTGGACTTAGTGTTTTAAATATGATACTTTAATGAATAAATTATGGGCTTAGACTCAGATGATAAATACAACAAACAAGAAATCTTTAAAAATTACATAGACGTAAAATTTCTCAATTAATATAATTTTATATGTATATAAAAAATTATCAACGGAAAACCAACAACTAAACTGAGTACATTTTATATTGTGTTCATAACATAACGTGGATTAAGATAATAGATTAACGTTATGAATATTGTATCAGCTGTTCATAAAAGTGTTCACAAGTGGCACTTAACGCGTGAATGAAAATAAAACCATTTTCCACAGAGTACGTGCTAATATTCTTACTGCTAATATGTGTATCTTTTGTACGTATTCTGCCATATAAGCCTTTCTGTGAATTGGTTATTATCAGACCAGAGGAAGAGTATGCAACAAGAGTAAAGCAGAGTTTTTGTCAACTCTCCATAAAAGTTGTCTGAAGTGTTTTACATTTTAAGAGAAATCCAATCATATATTATTTATTTGTTAAATTCTTGTTAAATTGTAATACTCACGCTAAGTATAATTAAGTTAGATGCACTACTGTTGTAAAAATGTGTCACATACGGAGGCGTCCTGTTGCGTCGGTGAGAAGCAAATGTAGTTATGTGATAGTTTAGAGGACTCCTTAGGTTAGGGATCCTCTAACTATGTGATTGTTTAGGGTTCGTTGGTGAAATCGGGCTATAATCTTTTTCACTAAAAGTCCAATCATGAAGATTTTTATAAATTATATTCGATTACCAATGTATATGTCTTTGATCATAAGGGTAAAGACCGGCAGTGATCACTGATTAGTGAAGGGCGCATTGGGTATTGACAATATGCTGGATAGATCTCGACTGATGAAGTCCACACTCCGTCAATCTCGTGCCTAGCGTATGGGGCCTATGAGAAAGCCTTCTATTTTGTTGGTACTCCATTCGGCCCAAATTTGGGGCCCTTTTGCCCTTCCGTGGTGCCAAATTGAATGTCGGTATATCGAAGCGGTGTGGTGCTTATGTAACAAGGCTACGATTTGAAAAAACATAGTCTAATAGTATAAAACTCCTCCAACTTCAGACACCTACACCCTGTAAGAGAGGGTTATGTTATACTCGTATCCCCGAAACTTCACCGCTGCATCTAAAGATATTTTTTAAGTTTCTGGACTGGAAAAGACATGGTATTTACATAAATGGGGAATAAATCACCTGCCTTCGAGCTTCTACTTATGCTCAAGGACCTCGACAGTGTCACCCAACGGTTGCGCCTTGAGATGATCATAGGCATCACGATGATCATGCTAGCGTCCCTTTCACACTTATGCTAGTTGATGTTTGAAGCACTGCGTTCGAGTTTGTTAAGGAGTATGTTTATCTAGTACAGCTAGTCAGGTAAGCCCAACTTCGACACAAAGCTAAATCGGCGAATCAAATAGGGATGGGTCGATGGCGAGAGTTCGGGAAACTGCGGCATATATACTTGTCCAATATGCCAAGTTACCAATGACGAACTTTGGAACAGAGACGCGGTCCTTAACTGCTGGGTGTATGAGAAAGCTCAAAGTAACTCAGTGAGCTATTGAGCAGGCTATGCTCGGTATTTCTCTGCATGAAATAGTTCGCAACGAAGATACATACAGTAGGGCAAAGATAACCATAGCTCAGAAGATTAGTAAGCCAAAGTGGCGGTGGGTTGACAATAGAGTTTGTAGAGCTGATAACCCACGGAGAAGAAAGATATTTGAGCGACAGCCTCGTAATGGATAATCCCCCACTATATGGAGTGACGACCTGTGCAAACGTGCGAAAATTCTATGGATGCAGGTGGTTCAGGATTCTGCGAGGATATAGGCCTCCCCCAAACACTGCCAGTCTGTGTGAGAGGCGTATATTCATCAAACACGCTAAACTCATGATGATGATGGTGATGACCACAAATCAAGATCTATGTTGGAATTAAACAAAATAAAAGATTTGTTTAAAAAATAAGCAACTTTAATTTAGCTGTTTTTTCCTTCAATTCGTATAAAATTTATTAAAATTTGTTTATCTGTTAACTTAATAAAATCAATTAAGAAGAAGAAGAATATTTTCCGAATAAACAAACAAGACCATTAACATTAATTAAAATGATTCCTCAAATATTTGTATTGATATTGCCAGGAATCGGCAGCTGTTACTTCCCTTCCTATTAATTTTACGGAACTAATTGTATTTTGAATGTTTGTGCAATTTAATAAAACCTGTTTTAAAAGCTAACCGATTAAATGAAGAAAAAATAAATTTGTCTTTGCTTGATGTCTACCGTGTGAGTGCGTTCCAGTCATGAGAATGTGAAACAATGAATTTCTATTCTTTATATTTACATTATATATCTTAGGATAGGTTCTCCGTCTATAACAAGAGAACCTACTATTTCACTGAATGACCAAATTCATTATTGTCACACAAAAGAACATACAAAGACAAAATATTACATTTGATCATAATTATAATCACCAATTCAACAAACAAGCTTTTGCCTAAAACGCGAAACAAGTAAATGTTGTCGGTGTATACAGATAGGGCGCAAATTTAATTTCACACTTTTATGAGACGAATGTGAACAAAAAAAAGTTCTATGTTCATATTTCCTCGAAACATTAGTTTTTGTGATTCATAAATATAATCAAGTGTGTGAAAGTAAATCCCCGTTGACATAAAAATGTTTAACTTAATTTTCTAATTTTACTACTTCTACAAGCTAAAATAAACGTGCAGTGTTTTCGGGCTATATGTATCCATTCAATGGACCGTTTAATAGCCAAGTAGGGCGTTTGGCCACATGCTACCCCATAGCCGTAGCGCAGACGTTCAATGAAAATATTATTCATTGCGAGACTACGTGTTTCGCACGAGAAAAGGGCTTAATATGTAATTTCCCTGTGAAGACGCGCTTATTTGTGACTATTACAAAGGCATGCGAAGTCCGTTGACCCGAAATGGGGAGGCAGAATATGCCCTAATACCCTTTGTGCAGCAGAGAGCCTTTATCTGTAGTGGAATATAAGCAAATAACTCAAATGTTTGTCAGAACTAGAAGCATTCTTAAAGAAGTTTTTAAATCTCACTATTCACTATATTTTATTATTTTACTCCATTTAAATACTCAAAATTAATCGGTGTTTGGGAGTAGTTTACTTAAATGAAAAATAACTACCTACATCATTTAAATTATATAGATATATTGATGAAACAAGAATATTACAAATATTCGAAGTAACTGGAACAAAAATTAAACTAGAAGTTGGCTTAACGGATTTGAATAGATAAAAATACTTTATTTATGTGTATTAAGTTTTGAGTTACGAGTAAGTATTTTCATACTTTATACATGAAGAAATTTAATTATCAATCATACAAAAATTGTAACTTATACAAAAAAAAATGTTACTGTCCTATTGTCGTCTTTTTTAGTATTTATATCGGTAAATATTATTTATATACGTTACATTTACGGGTAGAAGACTAAATGATTTACATTAACAAAAATAATGGAAAATTTGTCAATGCATCAATATTCATGAAATAGAAATCCGATTTTAATATAAATTGAGTGTGAAAAACACGAGCGATTGAAAAATTTCGTTGTTTCTTTCAAAAATATTAATTTACCATACGAGTATATTAAGAAATCTCGACAATAACATTTTTGTAATAACAAAATATTTCGAAATTGTGCAGTTTTTCTCACGATGTTTTCCTTCAACACTGAGCACGTGATAAATTAAGACTAAAATTAAAAATCAGGGATTTGAATTCAGGGTAATGGAGTGCAATGAATTAAAAGCAAATCAATAAAACATTCAGTACTTTAGAATATTTAATGATTCAGTTTTGTTTCAGAACACTGTATAGGAAAAAATATTAAATAATAAAGTATAGAATAGAAAATAATTTAGAATGTACAAAAAGAATACTTTTTGGCTCTTCTTACTTTAAGAAAATAAAGGTAACTCCTGATAAAAAGTTACAACTTGGAATTTAAACTGTGGTAGGACCACGCAACAGTATTCGCTGTTGCACGAATGGGCAGGTCCGTCCGGGTTAGTACCACGACCTCACAGAAGACCGGCGTAAAGTAGAAGTGTTACAGTTCTGCCTTTCGTCTGGTGAGTGAGGTAGCCGGGGCCCACGTTATTAAAAGGTGGCAACACATCCAGTACATCCAGTACACCGGTGTTGCAAATGTCCGTGCGCGGCGGTTATCACTTAACAACAGGTGAACCCCCAGCTCGTTTGCTACTTTTTGCCAATAAAACTTTATCACGCAATTTTATTTATCCTCGCCTATGATACAGGTGATGTAGGGTACAGTCTATTACCGTTTTTTACAGGCAGCGTTATGTCTGGAATACGGGCTCTCCGTGGGTTGTCAAAAATATATTCGGTATATTTTTTCGCATCACTGGATCATGCACTGGTTCTTTTTAAAATATGGTAAACTTTGGGGTATCTTGAATAATTTTCAGTCTTTGCGATTTAGTGAGTTATCTGCTGTAATAATAGCAACGAGTATGACCAAGAGTATAAAAAAAATGTGTGCGTGTACTAGCGTACACTCGTAAGAAGTGAAACTTTTTTATGACGTTATTTTTCAAAAAATAATTTATATGCAACTTATGCAACTTACAGAAATTGGTTAAATAAAGTTAAATTAGATAAAGTTAAATAAAAGGCTTTTATTATCATA